TATAGAGATTGACAATAGTTCTCCAAAAGCTAACCCATCACAAATTGTACATCAACAGATAATTTTGTATATGGTGCTCAGAAAAGGAATTTAAAATATGGATGATAAAGAAAATAAAAGGAGGGTGGTGCCTGTGGCTCAGTGGGTAGGGCACCAGCCTCATATACTGAGGGTGGTGGGTTCAAACCCAGCCCCAGCCAAACTGCAAAAATAAAAGATAGCTGGGCATTGTGGTGGGCACTTATAGTCCCAGCTACTTGGAAGGCTGAGGCAAGAGGATCATTTAAGCCCAAGAGTTGGAGGTTGCTATGAGCTGTGTGATGCCATAGCACTGGAGGATCTGGTGGAGCTTAAAGAAATAAAGGAAACAATCAGGGAATATAAAGATACAGTATAAAGTGTCAAAAATAGATTAGACTATGGAGAAGAAGGAACCTCAGAGCTAGAGGATAAAGTTTTTGAGTTAACCCTGGTAATTAAAGAGGCAGAAAAGAAGAGAGAGAAAGTAGAATAGGCACTTAGAGACTACAAGATTCCATGAAGTGTTCAAATATACAAATATACGGATTCTTGAAGGGGAGGAAGATTGTTCCAAAGAAATGGAAGCCGTATTGGAGACCATCATAAATGAAAACTTCCCAAGTTTTAATAAGGACCCAAACACACTCCTTTCATATGGATATTGAACCCCAGGTCATCTCAACTCAAACAGAGCTTCTCCAAGATACATTGTAATGAACCTGTGCAAAGTCAAGATGAAAGAAAAAATTCTTCAAGCAGGAGTAAGTGCCAACTGACCTATAGAGGCAAAGACATTAGGATGACAGCAGATTTTTTTTTTTTTTTTTGTAGAGACAAGTCTAACTTTATCTCCCTTGGTAGAGTGCTGTAGCATCACATAGCTCACAGCAACCTCCAACTCCTAGGCCCAGGCAATTCACTTGCGTCAGCCTCCTGAGTACTAGGACCACAGGTGCCTGCCACAACACCGGGCTATCCTTTTGTTGCAGTTTGGCCAGGGCTGAGTTTGAACCTGCTACCCTTGGTGGGGCCAGTGCCTTACCCACTAAGCCATAGGCACTGCACCCCACAGCAGATTTTTTTAACTGAAACATTCCAAGCCAGAAGAGCATGGTCATCTATCTTCAACAGCATTCTTTTTTTTTGTAGAGACAGAGTCTGACTTTATCACCCTCAGTAGAGTGCCATGGCATTACCCAGCTCACAGCAACCTCCAACTCCTGGGCTTAGGTGATTCTCTTGCCTCAGCCTCCTGAGTAGCTGGGACTACAGGCACCCACCAAAACACCTGGTTAAACATTCTTAAAGAAAACAATTTTCAGCCCAGAATTCTGTGTCCTGCTAAACTGAGCTTCAAAACTGATGGAGAGGCTTGGCGCCTGTGGCTCAAGTGGCTAAGGCACTAGCCACATACACCTAAGGTGGTGGGTTTGAATCCAGCCCAGGTCTGCCAAACAACAATGAGGGCTG